ACTCCAGGGCTTTTCAGATAGAGGCAGAGCGTTAGCGGCTGCCCCCAAATTCCCCCCTCCCCCAGACACGCATGACACGCATCCATAAGCACGGTACGCCTAACACCGTTGGATTGGGTGACGACATTTTAGCCAACGCCTAGCCTAGAGCATTTGCTCGGACAAAGACCAAGCATTTACTAGGAGTTACCCAGGTTGCACCGGCTCATGTCTTCCCTTCCTATACAATCCTGGGATTGCATAGAACTGGAAGCCACACACTCACGTGGAGGTACGTCGTACTAGCACCCTCCAAAAAAAAAAAAACCTAACTTCACCTAAATAATACAATTCATTTCTGCCCAGAGGGACTTCCACATTTGTAATTTAACAACCTTCATACACAACCTTTACACAACGAACAACAAATACACATTAAAAAACACTCTGTAAGTGGCTAAAACGTTTACCGCGAAAAACCTACAGAAATAAGAAAAAAACAAACGCGCTATATGACGTTGCGTTTTATTGTTAAAATACAAAATTGTTATTGAATTATTATTGCTATTTCACAGTAACCTTATGAAATATAATTTAGATGGTATTAGATAATTAATAATGTTTGAAAAACAAATAAAACATACGTAAATATTCAAAATTGAAGCAACACATGGTATCGTGACAGTGAAATATTAAAACGCAAGACATTATTATTACAATTGCGTCCTTTTTTCCACACAATTTTTGCATTAGGTAGTTGTTAAAAGTGTTATTTTGCTTTAGTTTTCACGATTTTCAATAGTTATTTTCTCGAAACCCTTTGGCGTCCTAAAATTGAAAATTTGAGGAAGGGTGCGTTTTGACTAGGACTAGTTGAAGTACTGTTTTCGCACGAATTCCAAAATAAAATGCAATTTTGAGTTACCCCGAAACATCCTGAAAACAGTTACATCCTCAAGCTATTTTTTTTTTTTTTTTCATAATAGTGTTGTAAGCATTGAATCGCCAAATGTCACAGAGTCACAACAATTTCTCGGAAAAATATTTAAAAAAATTATGAACTTGAGATTTAATATGAGAGAAAAAATCGAAATTGTTTGTTGTTGACATTGACAACTTCTAACTTATTGCCAGCCGAATAATTGAAAATTTATGAAATCCATGGTTTCTTGGTAATTTAATCTTTTATATAGTGGTTTTATCGATGAACATACTTATTTACACTAAATGCTCGTAATAAACCATTTCTGAATATTATAAAATCAAAATTAAAAGAATTAGATACAATTCATCGGAATGTGGTGGTGACAATTTTACGAAAATAAGAGGAATTGCGAGGCATTCTGTAAATGAATTGCTTGTAACAGGATTGTACGATTTGGCCTTTTAGGCCCCTAAACAACAATGAACCAAAAATAATCTAAACAAATCACTAACTCTTAAAATTTTGAATCGATTTCTCATGATAATCGTGTAATGTGATTACCGTTATATGATTAGTCCACATCCCTATTCGCGTCACGATGACAAGTGTCAAATTTGGCCTCTTATTTAGTGACGACTAGAGGACACAAGGTGTTGTTATGACATACAACCTTAATGTTTACTACCAGTCAAAAAATATTCAGGCTTAGATTATGCGAATGGGTCTCAAAATGTTGGATGACATGGTAAAACAATGGTGTGGTTTGGGCAACATTTTTTCTTAGTTTTAAATGGTATGGAAAGTTCATAGATAAACTAATGTAATGTAAGTAAATAGATAAATTAATGTGAGAAATTGCCATACATATTTATTGCATTGTAGGAGACCCCAATCTTTTGGAGGTGGCGGAGTCGTGGCCAGCCGAGGTTCAGTGTGAGGTGCGAATGGCGGTGCAGCGCGACATGCAGGTGCTGCCGGAGTTCATCTCCGAGCAAGAGGAAACCAGCCTCCTCGCAGAGCTTGAGCCCGTGCTCAAGAAGATGCGCTACGAGTTTGACCATTGGGACAATGTTAGTAACAATACCATACTTACATTGAAATTTTATTGGTAGTCATGTGCATTTATTTGTACACATGCGGCACCCATGTGAAATTGGGACTTTATTTTCAAGGGAAATGTCTGTCAAAATCATACTTCTTTTACTTTGATTTAAACTTTCACTATTTTCACACATTATTTGATTTTTAATTTGGGTTTTAATCACGTATAAAAAAATATTTTAATTACCACGACGTTTCGGACGTATTCTCTTCTAGCCGTGCGAGTTTTTCTTACTACCCGCACTTAATCTTCATTATTTATTTGTCCACTAGGGTTCTCACTAGACCGACACACAACAGTCATGACATCCGGCGACTTGTCGGGCGGTACTTGATGTCGTTTACATTTGTCGTATCAGCAAAGCATTTGTCGTATCAGCAAATATAAACGACATCAAGTATCGCCCGACACCCGCCTCGTCTGTCCCTTCGAGACCATGGAAGTTGCAATACGTCCGAAATGTCGAGGTAATTAAAATGTTTTCAAATTTTTATTGAATTGATTTCAATTATTTTTTATGTCAAATTACTTATTATAGTTTGTTATAATCGTTAATACAAAGATAGCTGTAAAGGTATCTAACTGGGTGACGAAATACTTAAGATTTCTCATAGATGGCGCCACGGCTAAAAAGTCGTTGAAAAACCAAATACAAAGAAAGACACGACAACAAACTTAGAAATGGGTCATAGATAAATATCATTGGGATAAATACTCAGGATAAATATCCATTTTTACTCGATATTTATCCAAACACGTGGATAAATATTTTTAATCGTGGTTTATTATTTATATTTAGTAGAACAAAGTATATTTTTAAAACCCTTTGTGTACCTACACAATTATAAACATTTATTTTTATATCATGTGTTTGAATTAATAGATTTTGTGTGTGAAATGTGAAAGAGAATCTTTAGGCCATTTCAAGTCCAAACATGACTTTATTTAGTACGCAGTGGACCCCAAGAGACCATAAAGTTGGGTCGCACTTTATTAACGCAGGATAGGTCAGCTCAAGGGTTACAGTTAATATGATAACTTTCTGTGAATATAATTTTTTATACCACATGACCCGAAAAACGTAGTTAGAACAGTATTGTTACATAAAAGTATGGCAAAAACGTAATTATTTAATAAAAAATGAGTTCCGATGAATTTTATTACAAAAAACACAAAAAAATAATGATCCATGTTATAGGATAAATACTCAGTAAAAACGGATACTTACTTGTTCTTAGACGGATATTTATCGGGTAAAAACCCATCTCTACAACAAACACATAGAAAAATTCGTGAGGTCCGCTGGTTCGTTCCGTGGCTTAGTTGGTATAGCGTCCGGCACGGTATGCTTGAAGACGTCGGTTCCAATTTTTTCGAATTCGAAAAAATTTTTCTAATTCGAAAAATTTTTTCTGAGTGTGTCGAACACTTTTGTATTAATAATTATAACAAAGTATGTTTTTATTATTACGTGATTAAGTCCCAAATTAAAAATAAAATAACATACATCTTTTAATAGTAAGTCAATGTTTCTGGGATTGGATGGGGATTAACGAGCCCTGTACTCGAGTCGGGCTCGGCCTGCGGCGCGTGGTCGGGTTCAGATTACGGCGAGTGCTCATGCTCTTCGGTGGCACAGCGGTTAGCACTATGGGTGCTTGATGAGGAGGTTTGATTCCCGCGATTTGGGCGAATTTAAGAAACGAACATTACTAAGTTGGTTTTGGTCTTTATATTCTGGGTATTGCCCTCAAGAGTTATCGGTATTATGGCATTCATAGTACAGGAAATTCGGCAGAAGTTTGGCATTTTTTTCCCCCTAAATACTTCTCTTTGGTATAGCTTCCAAAAAAAAGGAATCTAACAGAGAGACGGTCGAGATACAACAACGCTATTATAAATATCTCATTTCCACTAAATCCGGAAGAATGTCTTACATTTTTGCAATTGTGTAATCTTATACTCGTAATCTAGTACGCCTCCGTATATTACTTCCGTACGATGGCGTGCGGACGCTTCGGGATTCGCCCTCCGCGGACATCGACCTACGGCCTCGGTACTCACGACTTCATTTAAAAAATGAAAATAGTTCTTTAGTGGCGGCCATATTTAAAAATTATAAAATATATTTAAATCCTAGAAATCTTTTCGTGCCAATTTTCCTGCCCGAGCAAAGCAAAATTTTTCAACAGCCACATAAAAAAAAGAACGCTTGTATGGCGGCTATATCGAAAAACGGCGGAAGCAAAATGTTCACCCCAAATTATGATTGAAGCCATGTCATTTTCAGTCGAATTAGAAGAAATTTTTAACTACCGCTTTAATATATTCAATAATGACGAAAAATAAATTTTGACCGTAAATTATTATTAAAAACTCATAGAGAACGCGACATGCCGATTTTCAATCTAATTAGAGCAAGTTTTTATCTGCCGCTAAAAAAGTTTGTATGGCAGCCATATTGAGAAAAAGAGCGGAATAGATAGAGTTTTTTTACTTAAACTTCGAGGAACACAGAAAATGGAGACTGCCTTACGACAATATTTTTTAGGTCCCAGGACCTTTTCAGGATTGGGAAAATCATTTAAGAACATAAAAAACATAGATATAGAAAAAAAAGGGAGATATGTAATGACGCTATGTAAGATCGGGTACCGATGTCGCCACTTTTTAGCTTGTGTGCAATTCAATCTTTACGCTCTATTATCTACTACCATAACTTAAAGATTTTTATTGGGTAGGGCTTAAAACGTGGAAACGACGTAAAACAATTTTAAAATTTAACAAAATTGAACTTACAGTCACTTGGATAAGAGTTACGTTACAATATTTCAGTATTTTTTCATCCTGGTTCAGCCATTCACCAACAGGTGGCGTTTTAGTGAAAATACTACTTGTATATAATAGCTAACTATTACACGTTAGATGGCGCTGAAACTCGTTTTTCGTTACACTAAAAACTCACGGAGCGGTTTTCACCCGCGTCTGCGACCGCGGCATCTGAAGAATGTTACAGTTAAGTATGTAAAATTAGTAGCACATTTCACGGCGCGTTTTACGCCTGTAGTGGTGACGGTTGCTCGCGGTTGCCACGACGGGGTACTAGTAGAACCGCGCAGGACGCGAAGATCTGCGCGCTTGGCAGCCTTCGTCGCCCGCACACTTTGGCGGTCGGTTCAGGCGCACGCAGGGTAAGTTCTCTGTTCACCGCGCGACTTGCAATTAACTTTCACTAACTTCGCGGTCCGGTCCGCAATCGTAACGGTTTCAAGCCCGCTACCGCGGCAGCTACGTGCCCGATCAAATTTGCAGGGTCCTATGTATTGAAATAAAGCCGCTGTCTAGCAGCACAGAGTGCGGATGGAAACAGCTCCGTGTAACCTTATTAACCTTAAACTGACGCTACTCAACGAGTGATGTGGTCCTACTTATTCGATAGTTGGAAACTATGTAGCCACATGGTTTTTAAAATTCTATTTTTCATACTATGTCTACACTGGTACTGGTGTATTATTATATTAATATATTAATTAATTTTTTTTAAGGCGGCTGTTAAGCTTGGATCAATGTCAGTTTTATAAGAATAATATAAAAAATATGGCGATCGTCGCCAGTGTCAATTTTCCATTATACGTTACCACGGGTTGCTAAAGCTGTCACTGTGAAGAATAAACTCGAACCATCAATGATTTAATAAATTAAATTATGTTGCTTTTTTATGAAGAATTTATGTAATTTTCTATAATTGTTTCTAATATGTTTTGCAAAAAGTTTGTGTAAAAATAAAATCGGCTTTATTTTACATGTGCATACATGTAAAATAAAGCCGATTTTATTTTATTTATTTTTAAATGCATTTGCTATGGAAATTGAAACAAAGTCAGAAATAGTAATAAGAAAACATTGACTTACAAATAAATGGACGTCGGGTCCGCGCTAAAAAGTGTCCTAACTTATAGGGCGTTAAAATCGTATACAGAGCGTCAATCACGCTTTAGTCTATGCACGTCTAGTACGACTATGCCTGTTGACAGAATCAACCGTTGTCAGTGATAAACCGTAATAATTAATTATATTGGATCGATGTAAGCACTACGGCGTATAGAAAAGTGGTGACGTTTTTGAGCGCAGTATAATTTCAGTACTATGCACGAACGGGTAAGAAAATGGTAAGCAAAGAAAGGAAACCAGAATTGATGCAAGCTTGATAAAAGACCATAATATTAAAGCTTTGGTATGTGATTACATCAATGAGTGAACTGTGCATAGAAAGGAGAGTATAGAGGAATTTATCCAGGAAACATAGCTTGAACTTAAGAAGAAAGTGACTAGTATTAACAGAGAACATCTTACACCGCCAAAATGCATTAAAAATCAAAAGTTGGATGAATGACAAAATATACCAACTTAAGAAACAAAGAAGGTAATTGAAGCAGACTGACACTGCAAATTAAATAGGATTTATTTATTTAATTTAAGCAATTTGTAGCTTTCACATGCAAACAATGCATAATAATACAAATAGTACAACGTTGATAGCCTAACGGTTTGCACTGTGGGCACTGGATGAGAAGTTCCCGGGTTCGATACCGGTAGGATCAATTTAACAAATTAACTTTTTAAATGGTTCTGGTCTTGGTATTCTAAGTAAGACAATCACCTGGTCTGAAACTAGGGAACTCTCTGTACATACTCCCCATGAGTATCAGAGCAACAGAATCCCAGAGCAGAACCAATTTACAAAACGATGGAATTAATTCCGGGGCATAACTCAAAACACCCAGGCCAAAACAACTTTCGAAAAGTTCACATTTAGTTTTATAGTTGATTCAGCTGATTTTTTACGGTTTTTAAAAAAATTCTCGAATAACTCGAGAAGTCGGATACTAGAATTCTCGAAACTCAAGAAAAAAAGTCTCTCTCTCTATCTCTCTCAGACTCGTAATAAATGGCATTGTGTAAAATTCAACATTTACGTATAAAATTTATTTATAAATAATAAAGGCTAGTCCATTATATGTGTGTTCAAGTAGTTTTCACTAGAAGCTACATATGGTGCATTTTGGTAAGTTTCCAGTAGAAGCTGAATAAGGTGTTTTTTTGCGCCTTTCAATTGTTGCAAGCAAAATTAGGCAGTACTGCAATGACATTACAATTTAAATTCAACGTTTTAACTTTTTCATATTCCTTTACATGTCACTATGTTTAAATAGGTTGACCTGGGACATTTTTATCGTGGTTTTTGTATTAGACCCGTCGTTCATTTATTTGTAAGTCAATGTAAGAAAAGTTTTAATTAATACAATGAATAGCGACATCTCTCGCCAGGACTGGTAGCTGTAAAGGTACTAACTGGGTGATAAATCTGTCAAAGATTTCTCATAGATGGCGCTACGACTAAAAAGTCGTTGAAAGACCAAGTACAAAGACACGACACAAGCACGTAGAAAAATTCGTGAGGTCCGTTGGTTCGTTCCGTGGTTTAGTTGGTATAGCGTCTGGCACGGTATGCAAGAAGACGTCGGTTCGAATCCGACCGGATCGAAGGAATTTTTTCTGAGTGTTCGATCTTTGTATTAATAATTATAACAAACTAGTGGAGTAATTTCACAAAAAATAATTGAATATCAATTCAATAAAAATTTAATCAATGTAAGAAAACCAATCTTTCGATTTTCCTGCGCTTCAATCCAACCTTCTTTTATTTTAAATTCATTAGAAAAACTTAAAAATTAAAAATACTCTACGTTTAATCTACGAGTATAATGGAATTTAAATATCTTAAATATCTAAAACACATATATTTTTCTTCAAGCAACAGCAACATCCAAATTGACATGAAATTGAAACGGTTGTCCGAAATATGAGTTGTGTTAAAGTTACTCGAAATAAAATGTTTAGTAATAATAATAATAATAACAAAAGAAAATAAATTAATTTAACGTGAATGCTTTTCGCTTCAATATTTTAGGGACTTTAATTACAAAAATTTTAGTAAGAAATTCAAACATTTCAGTAAAAATTTATTGTCGATAAACATCAGTCATCATAAATGAACATCGCTATACTTGAGTCTAGAAATTTCTATGGAGACAAAAAGAAAACCCTGAATAATAATAGAAATAGTAACTAAAAACGCAAATAGCCGGTGGAATGTTATCTCACGGGTTTTAAAATATTTGTTTTCACTCCAATTTTTACAAGGTTACAACTTGGCATTTTCACGTTTTACGAGAGTTCTTGTATGTACAACGATCGCCATGTCACTGTGACGATGTTTGTAGGCATGTCACCTCGATATGATCATTTTGATCATATCGCGGCGACACGAACCACGCCCCCATACCAAATCTCCCCTTTTTTTGTTTCGGCTCATCTCGAAAGACCCATACGCTCGATTGCTGCTTTGTTTTGGGATCGTAACTATAAATCCATGTTTCGTCACCTGTTACTATGTCCCACACCAAATTTGACGCCCTTTCGTTGAATCTGGTAAGCATGTCATAGCACCAAGTGACGCGATCCTTTATTGGGCCTCAGTCAAATTGTGTGGGATCCACCGAGAGCACAGCATTTTCACACCCAAATGTTTGTGTAGTATTGATTGTATTTGACTCATGCCTATGCCTAAAGATGATATGCCGAATCTCATGATATGTCACATGCCTGTCTGTTTTGATCATACGGCGCACAGCATCGATGTTTTTGTTGTTCACAGCAGGTGACCATCACGAAATTCGTCACTGAGATTCACACGATCGCGTTTGAATTCTGCAAACCAGCTATAAATAGTCGTCTTGCATGATGCTTTATAGCCAAAAGCAGTTTGAAGCCGAGCGAAGCTCCGCTGAGCTGTTGAGTTACTACGAAAATCATACTACGAAAATTTTCACGAGTTAAATCCCCGGTGATGAAGACAACCAATTTCTAAAATGACGCCACGATGTAAAAACAAGTGACAGTCAGATGAAACAAACTGTAATCATCATCGTCGATAAACATCAGTCTTCGTAAATGAACATCACTATATTTGATTTTTATGGAGACAAAAAGAAAACATTAAATAATAATAGAAATAGTAACTAAAAATGCAAATAGCCGGCGGAATGTTATCGCACTGGTTTTAAAATTTTTGTTTTCACTCCAATTTTTACAAGGTGTAGGTATCGCTACAACTTGGCATTGTCACGTTTTACGAGAGATCTTGTATGTATGGTCATTTTGACCATATCGAGGCGACGCGAATCACGCCCCCATACCATATCTCCCCTTTTTTTCTATATCTATGATTAAAAATTTACGTAATGGGGGACAGGCAGGTACACTATATTTATCTTAACTTTGTGACGCACAGTGGATCGGATCTGCAAATTTGATTTTTTTTCACGATAGCTCTCTAAAAAAATGCCAATCGACAGATTCTGCTGTCCTAATTAAATATTGTCACAACACATTTTGCCATTAATATAATAGTTTTGTAGAAAAAAAGATAAAAACGTGTAATTTTTTTGTATGGGACCATACCTTAAATGCTCCATTGTTACAAAGTCTTAGGCGATCCTGTCTTAGAAACACTGCAGACGTATTATTAGACCTATCTTTTATAGATTTGCACACTAAACGCGCGCCCAAACTTGCCTATTCACTAATTATATTGCACATTTTCTGACGCGTACTTTGTAACAACCTTACAAAAAAAATACACATTTTATTTTTTTCTACTAAAGTATTATATTTATCGCAAAATGTGATATGACAATATTTAATTAAGACAATAGGATCTCTCGATTGGCATTTTTTTAAAGAGGTATTGTGAAAAAAAATCCAATGTCCGCAATATCGCAGATTCGACCCACTGTGCGTTGCAAACTTAAGATAAATATAGTGTACCCGCCTGTCCCCTATTACGTCAATTTTTAATGTTCTTAAGTGATTTCCCCAAGGTCCTGGGACCTAAAAAATATTGTCGTAAGGCAGTCTCCATTTTCTGTCTATGGTCCTCGAAATGCCGATTTTCAGTTGAATTAGAGCAATTTTTTATAAACGCTTGTATAGAGGCCACATTGAAAAATGGCGAAAAATTAATGCTGATCATAAATTATTATCAAGCTCTCATAGAATTAAAATCTTGGAATTATTTAAGTATCAATTTTTTTATTTCTATTTTAAAACTGGACGTAAAAGTCGAGTGAAATTCGGTATCTTTAAAGACTCTACATTAGAGTTGAAAGTTATTGGAAATGTACGATAGCATTAATAATGGAAAAGTATGTTAGCACAACACCGCTACGCTAGCAGTAACGCAGGAGGAGCGAGCCACCCGGTAACGAGCGGTCGGCGCTTGCAGGCGATCCACGGCTTCCGCGAGACGGAGCGCAGCGCGTGGTGGCCGCAGAACGAGGCGGTGCTGGCGCGGGTGCGCGCGCGGGCGCTGCCGCCGGGGGGCGCGGGGGGCGCGCCGCTGCCCTACGCGCACGTGCTGGACCTGGCGCCCGCCGGCCGCATCAAGCCGCACGTCGACGCCGTGCGGGTGCGCCCGGTTCCATCTCGACAAACCCGCTTTCCAAAAATCCTCTCGGACGCTCATAGATAGCCTCGCGCTTGTAGTTCTGCGGCGAGGTGATCGCGGGGTTGTGCCTGTCGTCGGCGGCGGTGATGCGGCTGCGGCACGAGCGGGACGCGCGCCTCGTGCTCGACGCGCTGCTGCCGCGCCGCTGCCTCTACGTCATGCGGTAACTGCTGTTCTTTCAAGAAACCCTTTCGATTGATTAGTTCAGTTCAGTGTGGATTTCCACGAAATACCTACATACGTAATGTTTACGTCGGTAAAGGAATTGCTTCTTATCGAATGCAGAATATCACAATTCGTAAAACTTTAGATTCACAAACTCCTACTTGTGAATAAATGCACGCCTGTACGTAAAATTTTTTCACCCAACTTACTATCCGGCCGCTTCTGATTACCCCCGGAAAAGTCATAATTTTGTCGAATTAGTGTAAAATTTCTATTCAATATAATATATTTCATCAATTATCATAAACAGCACTAGGATTCGTCAACGAGTATTACCAAAGTAATTACAACATTTTTCATCACACTTGCTCGTAAACAGTGTCATGACATGCGGGCAAAATCGACCGTAATGTCGCAATTACCTTTTTTTATAACATCAAGTGACGGGACGAACGAGTCGTGCGCCTGATGGTAAGCTACACGCCCGTCCATAACAGTTACAGTGCCACTCAGAATTTTAAATTGCAAAGATTTGAGGGGCATTACCGCTGCGCCCGTCACCCCGAGACATAGTTGACAAGTCCCATGTGCCTGTAATTTCACCAGCACCCTTACCCTTCAAAACCGAAACACAGTAATGCTGACATTACTGCTTGGCGGCAGAAATAGGTAACCTATATCCACGGGCTTTTTCATTACATTATCGCCCGACGGATTTTTTACGTCAATTTAAGCAAAAAGTTTTTATGCTCGAAAAATCTGAAAGTACAGTTTTATTTCGCATAAACTTAAAATAACGAAATATTTGAAATTAAACTTTATTTTACTAAATTTATTTTGCGAGTTGAAATTGTGCAGTATTTTTAGAATTTTGAAATTGTTTATTTTATATGTAATAACCTTAGAATAATAACGCATAGAATGATAGTTTCATATCAAACGAACTGTCACAAGTGAGGCAAAAATCAAATTCATGTAGGCTAGTTTTAGTAGTAGGTTAATTTTCGGTTTTAGTGAATATTTATATAAAAATACAAGTTGAAACGCGTTACTTCCTTGTGGAATGTGATGTTAGTATCTATTTTATGTTTGTCTGACGTATTTTACACTCATTTACCGCACATTTCGTCACTTTTAGCTAAAATTCTTAATCTGTTCGCGGTGCAAGTCGACTTTGAGCACTGAAGGCCCGCCCGCTCGTGTAGGCCCTTTGAGAGCGCTTCAATTTGCCTCACTTAGCGTGTACGGACTAGGTTTCTATGCGTTATTATTCTAAGGTAATAACATTGTGGCCGCATGCGTCTGTGCTTTTTATAACATTTTAGTTCGAGTTGTATTATCTACGGAAGAATAGCTGGCTATCTGTTTAAATAACAAAATCGTTTAGAAGCAAAGTCGTGAATGTGTTGAGAAACGATATTTATTCATACAAGAATAATATACGCCGTAGACATGACAAAGCTCGACCCGTTAGTAATTGTTGCCGCCCCTAACGCGCGACGACCGTGTCCCTCGCAGCGGCACGGCGCGGTACGAGTTCTCGCACGCGGTGCTGGGCAACGAGGAGAGCTTCTTCCGCGGCGCGCGCGTGCTGAAGCTGCGCCGCGTGGCCGTGCTGTGCCGCAGCCAGCCGCGGCCGCAGGACGCGCAGCACTAGCCGCGGCCTTCGACAGTGTAGGTGCAACATTATTTCATAGGGCACAGATGGTGGAGTTTATCGTCGTAACGTCGATTATTTGATTACAATTATTCGAGAAAGTAAACTAATCCGATCAAAATAAGGGATCTTTTCGACCAGCATAAACTTGTGCGTGTGATTTCAGTTTTTCTTTTTTTGTTATCAGATATATAAAACGTAATAAATTACTAAATTACTTCTAAAAAAATTTGTTTATTTACTTACCACGGCTACATCGCGTCGGTTCTGCGTTACGGATTAATCATATGGGGTGTAAAAATATAACGTATATAAAAATATAACACATAGTGACGTAAAAAGATGTATACGAGTAATGCGCGGCATCGGCCCACGGGAATCTTGCAAGCTGCTGTTCGAGAATTTAAATATATAGACTTTACCTTCCATATATATTTATGAAGTTTGTAAATTTCTCAAACAGCATCTAAAATTATTTAAAAACCCAATTATAATTAATCCACGCGCTAAAAGAAACCCAGACAGACTTGCTGTTGAAAATATACCTAAAACTACACTCTACTTAAAAATTTATAATACACTAGCGATTGAAATAAAAAATCTGACATTTAAAAGAATGACAACTGAACTGTATAAATACCTATTTAAAAAAGGATATTACAGTGTAAATGACTACTTAGAAGATTAAATTAAATTTTGCATACTTTTGTATAATGGCTGAATAGATGAACTCAAATGTAATAACTGCCATCCTGTAATAACCTACTCAATGCAAATAAACCTTATTTCATTTCATTTCGTACCCCTGTACGTACATCCTAGTGAATAACTTGTAATACAACGAATTTATTTATTTTCAATCTTTATTATTGTGTACGAAATACAATCGGAGCGTAAACCTAGTTAAAACTTTGAAACTTCAATACTTATGTGAAAACGAAGTCTGAATGAATTTTTCCTATACACAATTCGTAATTTTAACAGAAATCAATGGGATTGCAGAGTTATCAACTTATCAATGCAAAACTTTACAATGTATCACAGCTCCAAATGGTTCTAATGTACCTGTCTGACGAGTGAGGAGCTAGTCCAGCTAGTGACTCGTCGACTTGAGCTGCTATAAATTAACAATATCGAAAACACATGGAGTTCAGTACATAAGAGTGGCAATTAATTGTGTCACCTGATAAACGCACACACTCAACATAGCCCCGCACTAGGGATACCCTGTGTCGCGGGTGCCATGGACACATAGACAACCACAAATTACACCCAAACTCACGAGAGAAATAAATGTAGGCCATACAAATATTTCTCCCGACCCGGGAATCGAACCTGGGACCTCTGCATGGCAGTCCGGCATGGTAACCGTTCGGCCACAGAGACAGTTGGAGCTAATTTGTAAAGGTGGAGCGGCTAATCGAGATCAGGAGATGCAAGGAAGAGCATGGGAAGCTGACGATACAACAGCGACCTCTGCCGCTACAGTTAGACTTATTCCGGGTCCGGCCAACGGACCGGCCCCGCAATGGCCTTTTATTCTACAGAAGGGGACCAAACTACTAAAAAACATTCGTAGAGATGCCTTTCGAAAGGTCAAAGGTAATTCAAACGTAACAATGCAGACCCACACAAAAGAGAATGTTCAGAGGCTGCGACAAGCGGCGCCGCTTCACCGGACCACTGGATACTAATTTTACTAAATAGTTACACTAGTACCGTTACCCTTAAAGCAGGGTCACCTTGGATAGGATCGTAAAGTGGCATCTCCGAAAAGATAGTGAAATAGGCTTCTAGAACAACCTCCGGAAAATGTAGCGAAACTAATGTATAGTGAAGGTGTATTTCAATATAACATCTCGGTATTGCCGAAGGGTAACGCCTCGAGGTCGGATCACGGTTTCACAGGTCTGCGATCCCGGCGCTCTAAAATGAACGCGAAAGATGGTCCAGAGCTACGTCCAACCGGATCTCGCCGGAGCGATGGAGGCGTGAAGAGTTTCCAGGATATTATCACACTCCTAAGACTGACCCGAACGACGAAACTACATTCGTGGCGACGGAGCTGCACAAGCGGCCCCCAGACACGTTCGACCAAGTCGATGTCACCAGGATGCTGAATGTCAAGCCTGGCCGAGTTGCAGTGTAAATTGGAGGCTTCAAAGAACACCATAAGTGAGCTGCGTGCCCAAGATACGTTATTAAGCAACGCACAAATGGTTGCTTCACCGATCGCTGCTGCCGTCTCGCGTGATGCACCGGGCCCAGCTGCCCACCCCTCCGCCTCGGAGTAAACGTCACGCGTATGCATGTCAGCCCCTGCACGTGCATACGCGGCTGTAGCCGCTTGTCCCAGCCCATTCGCCACTTCGAAACTCGAAGGACGGCAATCCGCTAAGAGCAAAAACAATCCCCGTGAGCCTGTCTCTGATATTGCAAAACCACAGAGGCAGACGGACCGGTGCGATAAGGACGGCTTCACAAAGGTGGTGAAGAGAAAGAGGAAGCCAACCAGCCGTGACCAGTGTGGGACAGCACCGACAGGACCCGGCCATACCGACGACGCTGCTGTACCTGTCACGACTGCATTACTACACGAAATCTGAGGAGGTAGTGGAGTATATCAGACATAAAGCCAAATATAGCCTGAGGGTCGAGCGGTTGGAGTCCTGCCACAACGTAAATTTTAAAAGTAACGTCACGTTTGAACTAACATTTTTCAAATAAGATTTTAATACATTTTTTGTTTGATTCGGATGAATATTGCTGGACATGGATTTACAAAGTGATATCAAATCGTAATCTTCAAAATACAGGGTGTCCAGTAAGTAGCACGACAAACTGCGTGGGGTGATAGCCTAGGTCAAGGCCTACCTAGACAACATAAAGTATGTTCCGCAAAAATCAGTGGTTCTCAAGTTATGTAGTATTTAGTATAATTTTAAAAAATCCCTTCCCTGCATCAGATTTTAATTTTAATTTACATAAAAAACTAATTTAAGGATTTTTTTTCAGCTGTAATTATTCTTGAATATTGGTTCAACATAATAGTAAATGTTCGGTTCCTAAGAAAAGCCGCAAAAAATATTAAAAAGGTCGTCAAACTTTTTTCCTTAATTTTTTATTTCTTGACCTTTTATGTTAACCTACAGTGGTGTAAAAAAAATGTATGGGGCTGTTTTATTTAACCTTTTTTAAAACATGTCTGTTCATTGCTGATTTCAAAAAAGTACAACACTTATGGATTCCCATTCCCATAAAATAAAATAAAAATATTTTTAACCAATGAGTAAAAATTTTCTAGAAATCAAGAATATCGTTACTTTTCTAAAACACCGTAATAACACTAGCCCAGCAATTCGGCTGCATCTAAAACACGTTTGCCATTTCTCTCTCACTCCCTGTGGATGGGAAAGAAACAATAGTGAACGGCTTGCCCCACCCCACAAGCGACCTATCTACCTGCCGAACCAGTTTGGACAGGCCGATCTAGTACGTTGCCGTTAGTCATCACGCGCACACGCACAACTTTTTCATCGCCAAGTACTTTTTGACTCCTACCGACCGACCTATTATTTATTTACACCGGACTCTTGTTTCTGCCTTTCGATTTGGACTTTAATGTGTTTGTGATTACCCTGCGACAACTTGGCAAGCTTTTGGACTACGGACTGCACTTAGCTATTTGGATTTTTTGTGAAATTTTCAACTGCCGAAAACACTGTGCTGTTGTTGTTGTTGTTGAACATGGCAGCTAATCGCCGCGTTTATGAACCTTACACTCAAAGAGAGTACGCTGAAATGCACGTTATTTACGGGGAAGCGGGCCAAATCTCCCGTGCTGCAGCGCGCCTTTATCAGGAACGATACCCTGACCGAAGACATCCACATCATGAAATGTTTACGCGAATCCATAACGCCTACACGCAAGGAAGACTGCCTGGTCAGCGAGGCGGCGGTGGACGGCCCCAAGTTGCCGACGAGGACATTATTCTTCAAGAACGACAAGACGATCCATCTACTTCGGTGCGGGGAATTTCACTGCGCACGGGTATCCCTAAGTCTACGGTTCATTCTGTGCTTCAAAGACATGGATACTACCCGTTTCATATTCAACGTGTGCAAACGCTAATGGACAGAGATTACGAACAAAGAATGATTTTTTTGTCGTCGCATGCTTCAAATGCATCAAGAAGATCCATTGTTCTTCAACAAAATACTTTGGACCGACGAATCGGCGTGTCGAAAAGATGGATTTTTTAATATGCACAACTTGCACAACTGGCAACTGGCAAACGCACATGAAGCCAGAGAAGATCGGTCCCAGTACCAATTTAAAATAATTTATGGACTGGGATTTTCAACGAGGAAATCATAGGACCCGTGGAACTGCCGCAAGTTTTAAATGGGGCAAGATATTTAGAATTTCTTAGAGAAACTTTGCCCCCGCTGCTTGCCGATGTTAATGAGGACTTACGCCAGGAGATGTGGTTGCAAAATGACGGCTGTCCGGCCCATTATGCAGTAGAAGTAAGAAACCATTTGAATGCAGTCTTTCCAGGAAGATGGATCGGAAGACTTGGACCAATATTATGGCCACCAAGGTCACCTGACCTCAATCCCTTAGATTTCTTTTATTGGGGTTGTTTAAAAGATAAAATTTATGCCAAACCAATAAGAAATGATGAAGAACTGCGAGCCAGAATAAACGCAGCTTCGCGCGAAATCACGCAAATGAATCTAAGAAGGCTTAGAACGCAATTTTTAAGACGTTGTCGATTATGTATTCGAGCTAGAGGCAGGCAATTCGAACATTTGCTGTAATTTTTTTTTATTAAAAATATTAACTGTATTTTTTGTTTTATTTTAGTAATGTACCTTACCTGTACCTTATACTGCTTTTTTTCACACCGGCAATAAATATTGAGTATCAATATGCTAACAAAAACATTACTGAAAGGTTTTACACATTAAGTCGAAAGTTCACTTTCTTTCTGACTTTGTATAAAAGTAGCATTTTTTGGTTTTTTGTAATGAGAATCCACAAGTGTTTTTTTTTTTTGAAATCAGCAATAAACAGACATGTTTTTAAAAAGGTTAAATAAAACAGCCCCATACATTTTCTTTACTCCACTTTAGGTTAACATAAAAGGTCAAGAAATAAAAAACTGGGAAAAAAAGTTTGACGACCTTTTTAACATTTTTTGCGGCTTTTCTTAGGAACCTATCATTTACTATTATGTTGAACCACTATTCAAAAATAATTACAGCTGAAAAAAAAATCCCTAAATTAGTTTTTTATGTAAATTAAAATGAAAAACTGATGCAGGTTAGAGATTTTTTTAAATTATACTAAATACTACATAACTTGAGAACCACTGATTTTTGCGGAACATACTTTATGTTGTTTAGGTAGGCCTCGAACTAGGCTATCACCCCACGCAGTTTGTCGTGCTACTTACTGGACACCCTGTATACGTGAAAGTGTTACTTATTCCATTTATTGAGTGATTGCTTTAGAATTTTAAATAAATCGAACAGACTTCTCATTTATAAATGAATAATTATGTATAAATGAAAATAATCATATTATTCGCAATAAGATCCATTCTGTTTTTTTTTTTTTTAATTTTCAAATTGTTTTCTCAATGCCACAATTTTGAGTGACGACAATTTTTGGGTTCGGGTGCGATGTGTATCGTAACAGGAATATCTTTGCTGGCTCCGAGTACTTGATTGACATTGAAATCAAGGTTTAACTAAGTAGCAATGATTTAATAAACTGAAATGTCTAATTAAATAAAAACCTTACAATATAGACTCGATATCAAACAGGGAGTTATTTCTTTTTACTTCTATTAAATTTTTGTTCCAGTAAATAAAGCATTTCAAAAATCTGAATGTCAAACTCATCGACCGTCCCGTCCCACTCATTAATAAATTCGATTCAAAGGCAAATCTGCTGGGAAGCGCTCTCGGCACTAAATAAAAGCGACTCAGTTTTAATTTGTGCATACAAAATGCAACGTGAATATACTTTTCTACTAGTAAAGAAGGTTGGAGATATCCCGTGTATTTTGTGATCCAGTACTTTTGACGATGTGCATTAAAGAAACTTATCAATACTTGTGATTCATTATCAAAGCATCAAAAAAGCTAATTAAGTACAGCTTGTAGAAACTGGGGTTATAAAGTTGATATAGGTTATATTTATAACATTGTCCTGTATTTCGCTTCAGATGTTTGTTCGTAGAAGCAGAATATAACAAGTTTTTAGTTTGTTCTCAAAAATAATAAAGAACTAGCTGAATATTCTTAAATCTGCCAAGCTCGACCACGTTTAATATACCGTTAACATGTTCTGCCGCAATGAAAATGAATAAAAATTAAATCTGTCCAAATGGGAGAAATCTGCCACAGATGGTCGCACTGTTCTCAATCTCAAAGCGACATTGACATTGGCAAGACGCCTGTTGTCAAGACGTTCCTTTGCTACTGACAACATTAATCGAAACTGACACTGGCCCAAGCCTAGTGGCCGTCATTAAGGAAATAGAATAACTTTCTTATCTCTCATTTAAACATTGTCTAAACATTTTTGTATGAGTGAAACCGTACATTTTTTATGATTTACATTTGTTAGTTTAATATGCACAAGTAAACCCGCACGATATCATAAGTATTCGATTTATGCTTACTGCAACATCACGGTGATCGATGTATATTTTGCAATAAATGAGTGTTATTATTGTCTCGTTCGGACACGGTCGTTTTATTTACATTATTTAATAATACTCCAATCATTTGCATTGCAATTTCCATCTCTCCATCTCCTTGCATCGTCCTACTTGCATTTACATACATCCTGCAGTGCAACGTGTGTTAACGGCACATATTTTGGTCCTTCGAGCCGGATTTGAACCACCGACCTATGGATACGAACCGACCTACACATATGAACCACCAGAGGTTGGAATTAAAGTGAAGAAACATATCTGCACGGTACAAATTAAAACTTCATCCCTTATAAGTAAACTTATAAATAAATACAGTTCACTGTCTCGGGCGGTGCGCGTTATATGTTGGGTGTCGCGTTTCATAACAAACGCACGCGGTCGATCGGATAACAATGGACTTACAAACGCGTCCTTTCTAACAGCGATGGAAATTGGAAATGCTACGAAGATCATAATTAAATCAGTGCAAGCGGAGATGTTCTCAAAAGCAATTGAAAACATAAGAGACAAAATGCATGTCTCTCGGAAAAGTTGCATTGCAAATTTGAATCCCTTTTTGGATACAGAGGGCATTCTGCGACTGAAAGGAAGATTACAGAGATCAACTCTCGACATTGATACAAAGCAGCAGATTATAATTCCACATCATGCAAGATTCACGGAATTACTTATTGCAGAAGCGCACCAAACTACATTGCACGATGGTGTTAAACTTACCCTAGCGCATGTCCGGAACAAGTATTGGATTATAAGCGGGAATCGGGCTGTAAAGAAAGTACTGCGTCAATGTACTAAATGCATACGTTTCAGTGCACAGAAACAAGCACAGCTGATGGGAGATTTGCCGTCACCACGAGTACGCATTTCACGTCCTTTTACACATACCGGCGTAGATTTCACCGGCCACGTTGACGTCAAAGCCAATAATAAAGGACGTGGGATTTTGACAACCAAAGGCTACATTGCAGTGTTTATATGTCTAACTATAAAGGCTATAGAAATCGTGTCCGATCTCACCACCTCAGCACTTTTAGCCGCATTTAAAAGAATGTGTGTCAGGCGCGACACGCCACAACACATGTATAGTGACAACGGCACCAACTTCGTCGGTGCCGCCCGGGTGCTCGCGACAGAATACAAACAAGCTTTGCAAGTTATCAACACGGATTTCCGGGATCACGTCAACAAACTTGGGGTCAAATGGCACTTCAACGTACTTACCTTGAGCAGTGCTGGTGGACTCTGGGAAGCAGCTGTGAAGAGTCTAAAACATCACTTGAAGCGTGTATGTAATAGGCGATCAAAAATTGACCTTCGAGGAATATTCGACATTACTTGCACAAATTGAAGCGTGCCTTAACTCTAGACTTCCTCCTCTTTTATCAGAGCCATTCTCTGACATCAACATCGACAATATCAAAACCAGGTGGCAGATGACTCAGAAGATGTACAAGGAGTTTTGGAAGAAGTGGTCATTCGATTATCAATGTAAGTGGCATCTACCGACGAAGAACATTGAAATTGACGGCGTAGGCGTAGGCGTACTGGAAAGGACGGCTACGTACGAGCAGTTACCGTCAAAACACAAACTGCAGTTTTCAAACGCCCGGTTGTCACGCACATATTTTGTGTCGCGTTGTTTTATTTTTTACTTTATATAATTACTGTTAAATTGATTATTTTATTAGGTATTTTATAGCTTTAATGTTTTACGTGTGTACTATAAAATAACCAATACTCCAGGTAGGTAAACATTTAATCATGCTTAAAATGAAATGTACGTACAAGAACGTTATCTAATCTATGGTCAAACTGAATCAATTGCGTTGTGCATCTATTTTAAAATACATTGTTTTACAATTTCTTTAATCTCGACTTCTAAAAATATATTAATAATTAGGCATAAACTAAAACATAAAATGATACTAGCAAAGTCCTCGAACGACTCTTCGTCGATTTTGGGTCAGCTTTCGTCATCCTTCTTTGGAATTGTTCTTGTAAAAAATATAAAGAAATAACCCCCCAAGCTACCTTCCACGCACCGGGGGGAACATGCCAACCGTTCAACCGTCAGCGCTCCGGCGCTTCTTCGGGCTAGAAACGCAGTCAGGGTACTGTCCGCGAGCGGCAGTCGCTACTGCAGCGCGGCGAGGTCGGGCTTGGTGTCGTACTCCTCGGCTTCCTCGAGCGTCTCCACTTCGAGGTACTCCACCTCCCCGTCCATGTCGTCGCCCTCCGCGCCCTCCGCGCCCTCGACGATCTCCTCCTGCAACGCAAGCGCGGTGAGCGGCGGCCGCGGCCGGGCGCGCCGGCGGCGGGCACTCACGTGGACGATCCGGAAGGGCCGCTCGCGGTCGGCGTCGAGGCCGCGGTGCACGCGCGCGTGGCGCTTCATCGCCGCGCCGGACGCGAACCTGCGCAAACGGCCGCCGTAACATCGCACGAGCCGAAGCCGGCACTGACCGAGGGAAGGGCGGTACTGACGTGCGGTCGCAGCGCGGGCACGGCACCTCCGCGGCGGCGGGCGCGGGCGCGGGCTCGGCCGGCAGCTCGGCCGCGTGCGCCTTGCGGATGTGCGCCATCAGGTTGCCCCTGCAACACACGGCCGTCAGCGCGGGCGGCGGCGGCGGCGGGGGCGGGGGCTGCGGGGCGCGCGGGGCACCTGGTGGCGAAGCGCAGCACGCAGTCGCCGTAGCCGCACACGAACTGCTTGGCCTGGCGGTGGCGCAGCGCGTGCGCCGACAGCAGGTCGGCCGAGCGGAAGGCGCGGAAGCACAGCGGGCACAGCAGCGGCGGCGCGGCCCCGCGCCCGTGCGCCGCCGCCGCGTGCGCGCCCAGCTCGCGGCGCGACAGGAACTCCTCGGCGCAGGCGGGGCAGCGCGCGGCGCAGGCGGGCTCGTGGCGCCGCAGCTCCGACTGGCTCTGCGCAGCGGACGCGTCAGGCGGAAGGGGCGGGGCGGCCGCGGCGGGCGGGGCGGAGGCGATGACTCACGGCGAAGGTGGTGTCGCACAGGTGGCAGCTGAGGTGGTGCAGCTGCTGGTGGTCGCGCGCGTGCTCGTGCAGCGCCTGCCGGTGCGCGAACTGCGCGCCGCACGTCCAGCACGAGTGCAGCGCGTCCGAGGGGTGCGACGCCAGGTGCGCGCGGTACTCCGCCGCGCGCTGTCGATTCATCAACAACGCCCGCGATGACTTAAATCTCTTTCGACAAAATGCGCTCTCGCACATCATAACTCTCGATAATGTGTTCAAAAACCGCAAATCACGCCCAGCATACAGGTAAACTGTGTTGTTAGAGCAAATTTCTTGTCAGTGAAAATGTTATCTTGATATTATTACATTCAAATTTCGAACGTCTCTGAAAAACCAAACAATTTGATTGGACCTCAATTCTAATATCGGTCAAAATGAAGTTTTATTCCAAATGAAATGTCAATAGCAAACAATTTTAACAATTTCACATGTTACTTGATGTAAAACGATTTGACAGTTAGGGCCAATTCTAGTTTGTCTATGAATATAATAATAAAAATAAAAGCTACGGTTGTATGGCACGCGTGAGAAAAGTTTTTATTTTCCACCATTTCACCACTCGTAACATGCGGTCCCTGAACACATCACAGAGAGCTTATAATGTGTGTAGACAAAGCAGTGTATGTAACTGTATATAATTAGTCATTAAAACACTTGTGACATGTTTTTATGAAACTCGCCCATTGGCTCATTTTATAAACCCTCACACTTATTTTAATGCCTTTCATTATGTTCCAGTCATATATACTACTATTTAAATCCATACCTGCATTATATATGTATATATTTTTTGAACATTGAATGCATACATGCATATGCATATAATATTTTTTAAACATTGAACGACTAGCGATCTTCCTGAATGTACTTGCATCCTGCATTGTGAACTTCAATCCGATGAACGTACTTAATAAATAAGACTAATTACCTGGAACGACATAGGGCAAACTGAACACTGATACACGGTATCTCCCTTTGCATTTTTGGCATGCTCCAAGTCCTCGTCGTCGGCGGCCGTGGCCGCGGCCAGAGCGTCTTTCTCCACCATAATAATGTCCTCTTCGCTGTAAGCGTTATTGCTGCCGGCCCCAGGCCCTCCAACGACTATGAAAACGTCAATCTTCTGTGTCAACTCGTGCAATCTCCTCCGTAATGCGCGGATCTTCTCGCTGAGCGGAGGCGCGCTGCGCGTCGACAGTGCCGTGCTGAACTCGTATGCTTCTGCAGCCCGTTGCGCGCAGTTGCCGCACAACCGCCCATCAGGAACCACCTGGAACATTAATGTATTATAGATAATTAGTACCCTACCTGCAAGTTTGATAGTTAGGATAATTTACGAAAATAACCTCAAAATTACATATTTTCGCACCAAATGCTGAAGAGCAGGGTAAATAATGTGGGAATGAGGGGTAGGGGAGGGGAGTCCCCTGAATGAAGTTTCAAATTTAGAACATGAATAGTTTTCGAGATATTAATTTTTGAAAATTTGTATAAAATAACCTCAATCATGTAATAGTATCTACGTACTTTGCGTTATTTTTGTAATTTAGTTGCGACAACCAAACACCGTGAGTTCATAACCTACAAATCCTTTCATATCATTAATTTTCCAATATTTCAATAATTTTTATTATCAAAACTACAAGTTTCGTAAAGTTAATGGTATATACATGGTATGTGACAAATTGTACCTGGAATGCACTCAAATAACAATGATCGGTTGCACAATCTAATGGACAAAGACAAAACCAGAGGTATTTTGTCTAACATTGTATTAAAACCACAAAAACAACGTGAAATTGTTTGTTTACATTCCTCAACAACACGGGTGACGTTCGACTTGACGGACTCGCGCAGCGAAGTATTCACGTTATCACTGGAAAAGTAATATTTTAACAGCCTGTGAAACTGCGTGAAGAAATTAGATTTACCCACTTTATTATTGTTGAGGTGGAGCAGCATTGCCCTCAGCGGGAGCTGCATTGGCGGCGCGCCGGCATCGAATTCTTCGGGTGTGAACAACTCACCGGTCGCACCACACACGCAGCAAGTTTCTGCAGCGTCCGCTTCAATTTTCAACACAGTTGCAGCCATTGTTGCTATTTCTAGCAAGAAGAAGTAAAAAGCAAAATTGTCAACAGATATTTACTCGGAATCAAGTAGAAATTACACGGCCTACCAAGGCGAGAGCCAAAAATTAGAAAGATGCGACAGCCGCGGGTGACACCAAAAAATAGGTACACACAAACTAATAAGAGATACTACGTATTAGGTACACTTTTTTTTCCTTCGTTCCGTTTGGATCATAGATACAGAATAGGAGTAGAATTTATTCTGTATCTATGGTTTGGATCAACCCACAAACCACAACCACAAACTACTAATGAACATGTAATGAACCTTAGAGGATGGAAAATGAACAGATGAACAGCCTAAGGTTTTTTTTTATTTATTGCATGACCTGGATACAAAGTCCTTCAGTCGAAAACATTTTAACACTAATAAAAACAAAACAAAAGCTTAGAACTTAGAACAAATTCAAATTAAGTAATTATTTACATAAATAGGATGTTAAGAATTAAATTTTTTCTAGCGTACTTATAATAATCTTATAGAGTGAGATAAAAAACTCATTATTAGAATAGGAAGTCCTGCACGCGGCGTGAACACTGACTTGGTTTCGCATACAACTGTCGCTGTCACTTATGTCCGAGTATCGTGTTTTAAATTGACGATTTGGCTTGATGTATTTATTCCGATGCCGTGAAACTAATATTAAAAAAAAAGTATAGTGTTCTGTGGCTGTCAAAAACCGGCGTCGATTTCGCCATTTTCTAAAAATTCGTAGCATTTTTTGGGAAATAATCCGTATTCATCGCATTTAAATAGTTCAAAAACTAGGCTATTTCAAAAGTTTTGTGTTGTACTACATCCAATATGTCTATAGGTGTGCCTATTAAAGTACTTCACGAAGCGGAAGGCCATGTAGTGACTTGTGAAACAAATACCGGAGAAGTTTACCGAGGTAAACTAATTGAAGCTGAAGATAACATGAATTGCCAGATGACGCAGGTGACGGTAACCTACAGAGACGGACGTGTCGCTCAGCTGGAGAACGTGTACATCAGAGGCTCGAAAATTAGGTTCCTTATACTACCAGATATGTTGAAGAACGCGCCTATGTTCAAAAGACAAGGCAATAAGCCGACTGCGGGGCGCGGGAAAAGCGCCATATTACGAGCTCAAGGTGAGTTGTGCTGGAAGTTTGTTTACTAACAAATTGTAGGTTGTGTTGGTAACATTTGTTTTTTTAATACCATATAGTATTCACAACAATTCAGTTATTGTACCAAATTGTATACATTTGGCAAATTCTGAATAGCGAAGCCAGTTTACTTAATAAATAGCAATTGACCAATATTGATGAAAATGTTATAGATAAATGTTCGTAACGCCAGGCCACGTACTTATTGTCCATTTGTAGTTGATTGGTCCAGAACGAATGTCGGCTCTAATGCTATTATTATCCGAATTTGCCGTGAGTACGTAGAGTACGTGAGTGAGTAGAGTGAGAGAGTGAGACAGACGATATTAACTCTTCATCAGTGGACCTTTATTGGCCACCATTAGAACCAGTATTGGATCTGTTCATGCCGCAGTGGAGTGATTAAACTGAATCGTTTGAAGGTGACTGTGAAGTTTTGATAAATATAGTTTACCTACCCTTTCCCATTTGGGAAACAATTTTTTATGGTTAATTTTTAATGTACTTAAGTGATGTCCTGAATCCTGAAAAAATCCAGCACAAAGAAATCTTGTAAGGAAGTCTCCACTTTCTGGCTCCGTTCCTTGAAGTTTAGGCAAAAATGGTATACCAATAGGTACATATTGTTCACTGATTATAACTTGTCAGTGCACAATATAAAGTTCTCTTTGGATTGGATTAATTGCAATTGGAACTTTAATATCGACAGGCAATTAATATCACTCAAATTACATACAAGTGGTGCCAAAAATAATCATTTTGCTTTGGTTTATTGTTCAATATTATATTCAATTCAACAATAGCTGTTATAAATAACAGTAGCAGATTTGATTAAGTCATATTAACTCCATTATCCACAATTGAACCACAAAATAACAGGTTACGCAAGTTTTTTTTTTCTTTTTCTGTGTCTACTGTCAGAAAGAGAAGCAGTGTTGGAATTTGCGTCTATTTTAAAAAATTCGCCAAAAATTGTAATTAAGCAAAATTACGTATTGTTTTGTGTTCTTTGTGTTTACATGAACATTAAATTGTGCACAAATTATTGGATAATGTTAAAGTCGTTAGTGAAGGGTAAATTGAGTGAGAAATAATTACATTTCATCCCAGTGTAGTATTTCCTGCAAAATATGAAATGCTTTCAATATGAGGATGACTACAACAATGAAAACAGAGTGCAGTGTGATGATTGCAAAAGGAATATTTGTTTGCAATGCAGTAATTGGACAAGTAGTGAGGCGTGTCATGTCATGGAGCTACAAGGGAAGCGCACAGTCCTGTACTTGTCTCCCGCTTGTCGAGGCCCTTATACCAAATACTAAATTAAACTAAGCTCCTAAAAAAATATCTATTACAAACCTCCACATTTGGATATCACAATTACAAACCAATAAGTAATGCTGATCTTACTTACATTTTTATAGTTTAAAGCAGTCGTAAAAATAAATATTTTGTATATATTTCGATTCCCTATATATGTTACATATAGATCATTATCCATATGTATATATCTTACATCTATTGTATAAAATGTAAAAGAAGTTTAAGCACACCTATAATTATTGTTGTCCAAAGTATTTCAAACCCACACTAGACGAACCTAGTGATGCTTGTCGCAATCAGATCAGAGTCTAAGGGTCGTATTCTAGAACTCTACTCAATGCTCAAGTCAGGATTGCACTGGAAACACAAGCACTGGAAATACGACCCTAATGGCAAGGACTTGTGTATGATTTTCAGTGCTCACTGCAATACTCAAGTCCTGACTTGAGTATTGAGTAGAGTTCTAGAATACGACCCAAGAGTCGTATTCCTGAACTATAGTGTTGCAGTGAGCACTAACAATCATACTCAAGTCCTTGCCATTAAGGTCGTAGTTCCAGTGCTTGAAATCATGCTCAGGTCTGCTCAAATCCTGACTTGAGCATTGAGTAGAGTTCTGGAATACGACCCTAAGCGTCGTATTCTAGCAGTGCTTTAGCACTCGAAATCATACTCAAGTCCCTGCCATTAGGGTCGTATTTCCAGTGCTTGTGTTGCCAGTGCAATTCTGACTTGAGCATTGAATAGAGTTCTAGAATACGACCCATAGTCGGTGCAGTACTTATTATATGTTTCACATCCACGCAACATGAATGTTGTGTCGGGAATTTGTGTGATAAAGTGGCATGTGAAGCAAGAGGCGCCGCCTCAAAGCCAGTGTGTTAGTGCGAAGACCAATTTTTGACAGTAATTCCGACAGTCAATGTTGCCATTAACCAGGTTGGATATAAAACAAACGTCATTTAATTCACGACGCATCTGAAGAGGTAGAAAGTGATACGGCCTGTATTGGTGCTCACAGCTTAGAGACTGTTGTCTACAGTTGAGTTGTAAATATAGATTGATTTCATGATATAAAATGTGATATCCTTAATTATGAAATAAAGGAATTTGGAAACAATCACTTACAGAGAAGTTTTTTATTATTACTATATTATTTGTATTATTTCAGTTTTATCGGCCGTTTTTCTGATTATTTCACTTTTACAATAAATAAATAAATAACGCACACACTCAACATAGCCCCGCACTAGGGAAACCCTGTGTCGCGGGTGCCATGGACACACACATAGACAACCACAAATTGCACCCAAACTCACGAGAGAAATAAATGTAAGCCATAGAAAAACATTTCTCCCGGCCCGGGAATCGAACCTGGGACCTCTGCGTGGCAGTCCGGCATGGTAACCGTTCCGCCACGGAGGCAGTTAATGAAACTATTGAGTGTTAATCTCGTTTACTCTCATACTATGCTATGCTAACACAAACATTTTGTAGTTGAAAGCAGGTTTGTGGTTGTTAGGCACTTGAATTAATTGAAGGCACTTTGTTGCAGCGGCGGGACGCGGTCGAGCCGGCGGGCGCGGCGGGGGGCACCGCGGCGGCTGGCAGGGTGGCTCCGGGCCTTCGCGACGCTAACTCGCCTCTAGCTTAAGCTATTCACTATTTTAAGCATTGATCTTGTGTGGCCAGGTAGATGAAACCTTTTGCATGGTCACCGGTGAGTATGTACAACATCAGGTACTGTGTCCATAATAGTATCTGCGCTAATTGTTAGATGTGTTATTAAACAGTGTAGAGAATTGGAAGATGAACTCTGTTTACCTACTCACGAGTGACTGCGGGCATCATCTGCTTGCGTCGAAAATTAACTTTAATTGTAAGTGTTTGTCTCGAAGCCGGCGTGGCTAAGTATGGATTGTGATACTTTATGTACAGTGGAATGAGACTAAATAAAGTGAAAGTTGCAGATTAGGAGTTTCAGTAAAAATCATTCTTCTGTTAAATTTATTTAATTTCACTTACAACACCACATACTTAACATTACATTTATTATCACAAAATTGCGTAGAGTATAATTACTGCACAAGCCTTGCTTACATGGAGCTGGGCATGGATATATTTAGCAATTATTTCTGTATACGTTTAGTTACGACTAAAGGCTACAGAATATTTGGGTGCCACTCGGGACAAACGGCTCTGACCTGAACACCAAAAACAAGACGTTTAATGCGGCTACATCGCTCCCGCCCTACAGGAATTCTAGTTCTCCGCCTCGTCTCCACCTTTATTTATTATTTTTATTTTATTTCCAACCTTCTCCACCTTTGCCTAACTACTATATGACTTAAATATTTTCTATCAATCCACATCTCGAGTCGAGTACACTAGGAAAATTGGAACGAAGTTACCGGGAATAAAGCTTATTTATAAATGACAAGTTCATAATCAACGGCAACAACATTAAAGATAGTCCAACTTGTAAACGCTCGGAAAGCGTGAAGAGGCGTCTTGTCGCCGGCGACTCGGATCGGGCGGAAGAAGCGACCGCAGGGCGGCCCTAGGACGCCAGCTCGGCCTTCTTGGGCCGCGGCGCGGGCGCCGGCCGCGGGCCCAGCGCGCGGCGCAGGCGCAGCGCCGGCAGCTCCACCAGCAGCGCCAGCGGCAGCGCGCACAGGTACGACACCAGCGCCACGCCGAACCACTCGAAGATCTGCGACATCAGTGGGCTGTCATCGCGAGGGCCCCGGCCGCGGTGGGGGGCCCGGCCGACACTGACCGCGACTTGCCGGCTGAGCTGCGCGGGCGCGAGGCTGCTGGCCACGAGCGACTTGTTGAGCGGCAGGTGCAGCAGCAGCACGCCGAACGACAGCCGCGCCGGCGTCGCCCAGCCGCGCCACGAGAACAGCGTGCGCAGCGGCGCTGCAACAGGCCTCGGTCAGTGCGCCGTCCCTTCTGCGCCTTCGCTGCAGCGGTGGCGGTCGCGGGGCCTCACATCTGACGCCGTTCATGGCACCGAGCAGCCCGAGCGCGACGAACAGCGAGAACACGGGCCGCTCGACGGCGGCGAGGGCGGCGGCCGCGCCGCGCGCCGGCGGCCCGCGGCCCAGCAGCAGCGGCGACAGCGCCGCCCACAGCACCGCCAGCGGCGGGCTGGCCACCGACACCCACCGGAACACCTGCCGGGCGCGAATCCCCGCTAAGGCTCGATTCATCGTCGACGGAACGGAACGGAATGGAAGCGAATTGTTGTAACGGTATTCCACGTAGCGTAATGAAATGTATGGTCAAGTGTAACTTACAAACTAGACACGAGCCAAAAACACGTCGCGCGTCTTCCGCGGAACGCTCGCGCATTCGCGAAAGTTCCGCAGCTGCCGTCGGCGAAGCCTGGCGCCGTCGCGGGAAGTGGCACGAAGGCATGCACAGTGTGACGTCAAACGTCGACAAAATACTACTGCCTTAGCCGCGATCGAATGCTCGGGCATTGTGGCACCTCAGCGACCGCGTCTTCTCGCGCAGCGAAACGAAATTGATGCTTCCATTCCGTCCCGCCGCAATGTACTTTGAGCCTTGGATCGGCTCGCGGAGGCGGCTCATTGCGAAGTAAGAGACCCTTCGACCTGCCCATTTTCTATATCTATGGACCTGCCTCACAGGAATGGCGATCGAAATCGATTTCAGTTCACTTACGTGAAGCCGGTCACCATTACCTTCTACTCAAAGATGACTACGGTGCTGTAGAGCCTCACGAAAGTGGCGCGGCGCGACTTCTATTCGTATTTTGTTTGAGTATTGCTCTAAGCATTTTTTGTTCTTGACTTTCGTAGATAGCGTTTCAGCCATTTACGAGATTTTTCAATTTTATCTTTAAAACAAAGTCGAGAGCTATATTATAGAGAAAGCAATAAATCTACATTGCACCGTTCGCTGTAGGGAGATATTTTCCAGCAAACGGGATTATACTGGCGATGAAGTAGGCGAGAGACACCTAATGTAGCGGTTACTCCGCCATGTTTGAGCTCGTGAAAATAAACCAGGCTGGTTTTTTTTAAACTTTGGATTTTGTTTAAACTTAATTTTAACTTTTCTGTTATTACGAATCCCTAATCGAACACATTGCCGGAGTTGGAATACCTACGCAAGTCTGTCACCGACGCGTTGGCAATTAATGGCGTTTCATCACTGTACCTAAGCCGCTTTGTCAATTGTCACAATCTGATCTGACGAGTAGGAGCTGCACGTGTCAGTCGTGCCTGCGGTGTACGGCCCTACAAGCGGGTGGCAGGCGACGTAGTGCCGCGTCGGGCTCCTGTACAACATCACCAAGAAGCGGCTCCGACCTTGTGCTCGGCGAGGACGACGCCGGCGTCCAGCAGGTGATGGTGCAGGTGCGCCAGCAGCAGGCCGGCCAGCGCGCCCGGCGAGTTGCTCAGCGGCGACTGGTACAGCACGTTGAACGACGACTCGCCGCGGTATATCGCGCGGACCAGCCTGGACGTGCGTCTAACGTCGTCAACTAATTCCAAAGTCGGGTGCCGGTCGCGAAATAACCCGTCGAGGTACCGACTCGGGGCTGTGCATGACGTAGGTGGGGATGAGGCGCCAGGCGTAGGCGATCGCGAAAATCAGCGCGACGGCTCCGACGAGCAGCGCGGCCAGCACGAAGATCGCCCCTCGCCGCCGTCGCCACAGCGCCAGCGTCAGCGCCAACGACAGGGCGTACAGCTGCATGTCTGCCGCCAGGTACCTGCTCGACAGCGAAGTGCGAGTTACGAACCCTACGTGGACAGTTCCCGAGCGAGTTCTTCGCGAAGCGACCGGAATATACGGCGGAGTGAAAGCGAAAGGATTAATTCACCAGGTTTGTATCAGGCACTTGTCGTCGGCGTACAGCACGTTGTTGAGGTACAGCAGATGCGTCCACCACTTGCGGCGGCAGACGTCGGCCTCGGCGCGCACGTGCGGCGCCCACAGCGGCCCGCGGCCCGCGCGCGCCCACCACGACGCCGCGAACCACACCACGAAGAAGTAGCTCGGGCTCACCCTGCAACCCCACGGACCGGTTCGTCGGTGCGCGGCTCGGGCGAGCGGCCGCCGACGCCTCCTCACCTGACGACCCTGTCCACGAGCGTCTCCGCGAAGACGGCGAACCGGGGCGCGCCGTCGCCGCGGCGGCGCCGCTGCAGCAGCTTGTGCGCCAGCAGGAACGACGACATCAGGAAGAAGATCTGCACCACTAGCGTGCTGTTCACCATCATCATGACGTCGGTCGACAGACGCATCTGTGCACCACGCGCGAGATCTCGGTGTAGTAACGCTAGACTCGAACCTCGGACGCGAAGAGTCCGAGAAAGGTGCGAACTCGACTAGGGTCGAACCATGGCATACGAACCAGCTCGTAGTGCCTGGTGTTGACGAGGTAGGACTGCGTGGCGAGCCAGCAGACGTGCTCGACGACGACGCACATCATGCACAGCACGCGCAAGCCGTCGAACGCGCGCAGGTCCGTGTCGCCGCCGCCGCCGCCCCCCCGCGCCGCCGCCCGCCGCCCCTCGGGCGCCCGGCGCCGCGTGCAGCGCGCGCCAGCTCGCCGGCAGCGACCACGCCAGCGCCCACGAGTATCCTGCACGGCAATCGAGGAAACGTTTGACCCGCTAGCGACCGGGCTCGAGAGATTTTCAGTCAATTGTAATATTCTGCTGCGAACCAGGGCGAAAAACAGAATAGTTTATGTATATCTTTATTTATAGAAAAGTAATTCGCCCGCGAGAGCTTCGTGGCTGACGCAGTAAAAGCGTATTGTCGCGCAAACTGCTACGATACGCTTCGCGTTGATGATGCAACTCGTCAGTAAATTATGTAGAAGTGGCGTGTCATCGCGAGCAATAAGAGAAGCAAAAATTATTTATAATACCTTTACCTACGTGATATGTACACACCTAGAGGTCACGACAAAGCCGCCTAGTAGGTACATACTTTGAATTATGTGAATACTTCTAATAGCCATAATTTAGATTTACGGCGACCTTTTGCCCGCAGCGTAATATTACCCGCAGCCATCATCCGCAAAACTAGAGGCATCATATTATACCTTTAAGTACCTAGTTAACTACGGAAGAAAAAAGCAATGGAAGTGCTCAAGTCTCGATTACTATCGAAAACTCACACATTTATAATAATTCTAAACACTGAGAAATCTTGATATTGATTGATCGCTATTCCTATTCTTCTGTCTTTCAGTTTTCTATCTTTCCCTATCATATTGCTTTGTGCACCTACATTTAACACAAATTTTATGCTTTGCCTAATGCACGTTCGACGTCGTACAGAATACCCCTAGGTATTGTCTAGAATACCAACCAGATTACATACATTGCCCATAATCTTATGTTATAATATACGAAATAAATTTTATAGACTACCCCTCATCATACTTGATAATGGCACTTGCTAAGTGCTCTGAATTATCATAGGAAGAATAAAAAGTCATACCACGATGAAAAACCTTACATTTTTAAACAAAACTTTCTATTTATCCATTTGGAATAAGTTCCACATTTACACACGGTATGGCAGCCAAAGAATGACACTCTGTTATATTACAGGAACCGTTTTGAACAGTATTTCCGACCCTCTATAACTCAAAATGTATTTGACAAATTTTAAACAAAAAATATAATATTAGACTGTTATCGAGCCATTGAAATATGAATATTGCTAATTTTAGCATTTTAGCACTCATTCAAAAACATCGAAACTTTT